AGGCTGGCTAGTCTGTGGGTACTCTGAATAAGACTCATGGGTAGAGTATGGGTCGAATGAGTGACCGGACATGGTGGGAGGATATGCAAAAGATGTCATGCTACTCGGCGCAATCGAGAATTACGAGAGTGAAAACTGCCGTCCGCAGCAATGCAGGTACCCTGAAGGAAGAAATGTTAGTTCCCGGTCAGCTTCGGGCAGTGCGAAGTGCACAATATAAAAAGAGAAGTAGTACAATAGACATGGCATTTAATCTTGGTTCAAAGTCTGAAAGAAAGGGGTTATAACATACAGTATCTCGCTGAAATTTTGGAAACCGCGACCTAGACCGGATGGGTGACACTGCAAAAGAGATAATGTTTTGGTCCTTCCAATGGGTGATGACAGGGCTTTCGTGATCTGCTGGAGGATGCTCCGGATCTGTGGAGACGAGTATGGAAACGATCGGCCAGGGACTCCCGCGAAAGCGATACGGGACGCTGGATTATTGCAATAATCAGGAGTTGAAGTTTGAGCTTTGGTAAGACATAAGCAACACAGCGCTGATCTGGTCTGGATTCACAGATGGGAGGCGAAGTTGGATATGTATAAGAGTAGGCCATTCGCATGGCCCCCAACGATGGTGATGCGCCCAAACACCTACGTTCATGGCTGGCGCATCGTAGAAGCGACCGCTGCTCAAGCCACAAGAAACTACCACAATTCTCGTCTTCTCCGCCATTTCGCTCTCCCCCGAGCCTCAGATAGGGCTGGCCCTGCCGACTTTGTCGGTGTGTCCAAGCCTCCTAACGCCAGATCGAGAGGAGATGCTGCGCGAAAAGGGTAAATGCCGGTGCTGGAATTTGACTAGGCTTGTAGGGGTCTCCCCTTGGCTACGATCAAAAACCTCGCCCACGCCGTCGGGCACCCTTGACCCTTCCACCAATCAATACACCGTGCGGGTGGCTGTGATCGGCCCAAATATAAATATAGTGTCAGGAGTGGCTGAGACGATGCAGCGTAACCATTATCCAATGCCGCAAACAGGAAAATAATGATTGAATGCTTGACAGTAGAGTTGAATAAACAGCAATTTGTATAGATACCACCATGATGTAGTCGTGATTATTGCAGGTGCTAGTGGAGCAATTTTCCTATCAGACCCTACCACCCAAAAGGAAAGCCGCAGGACAACGCAGAACGACCCTCTTCATTCACTACTGTAGGCCAATGAAGCTGACTTGCTGCATTTTTTTTTCCAAAGATTGAAACATGGTCTCAATAGACAGTGGTTGTGCTGCCTGGAACCTGCAAATGTTAATCAAACTATAGCCTGGCACAGTTTGCTTACAGTGATAGAGTTGTGTTTATATAATGGTACTTGTCAAGACTAAGCGAATCCGGCTCGGTAAATTGTTGCCCACCTCATACCCCCATTATCGCCCAACTTCAAGCCAAGGGTGTGACGGGTAAGAGAGTTTAACTCCCATAATTTTATTCTCCCTCCCCCGCCCACCTAGCATCTGCAACACAGAGGGGTTAAACCTGTCGTTTTCTACAGTTTTATACCAAGGTGAGCGATGATTTCGAAGCTACTGTAAAACGGGCATGTTCTTTTTCTAGGGGTGCCAAGGGCCGCCCAGATTGGCAAGATCAATACCATCGCTTTTGACTAAAATTATTCCTGTTACCAACCAGATATTTACCGTACAGGTAGCCAGGAATATCTCTTTCCAACAATGGTATCTTCCGGCAACCTCCTTTTATTTTCTCGCAAGCGCCTATGTTCACGTCAAGTTGAATATAATTCTGTTTGTTTTCGTTCTGAAGAAATATTGCGATTGTTGTCGCTTGGCGCAATGGATGATGTTTTGCGATGAAGTGGATCTAATTTTGGGTGTTGTAAGGCTGTGTTCCATGGTTAGATCTTCAAGGCGGAGCAATAAAATTGCGGACTTTGATCGCCATGCCTATCACAGGATTTTGTTTTTCCCCACAAAATTCCTGACTTTGGAACCCTGTGCTCGGACACCGTTTGCTTCACACCATCTTCCAATTATGGCCGGCGGGTACGAGTACAATGGTACCGAGTCCACGAGTTCCCCCGTAAATGGCCTGAAGTTTGCTTGGAGAGATGGTTTCTTAGCGCACTGACTGGCCAACTTATGAAATAAGCTACAGTTTCCAGAAGCGACAAAAGGGGAAATAATACAGTACTAGCTTAAAAGGGGCGAAAATACCTGTCTAGAAATCCAAAATGCGGCTCTGCGAAAAGGGTTGTTACCCCAAAATCACGATGTTCGAAAAGCCATCGGTAGGTTCTTCGGCGGTAGGACATGGCTCACATAATAATTCTCATCATTTGTACGATGTACCCACGATTCCATATTTTCACCAATACGCATTAACGAGATAAATCACAGTTCCTGATTGCTGGTTGGCACCATCGTACAGATCTATCAATGATACATAGTTCCATCTCGCTACCACTTGCTCCATATTCTTCAATCGCACTTCTGAGAATACTAAAGATTCGCCGTTTCACACGTGTGATAATCTTTTGAGTAGTGTTAGCCGACTCGCAGGCTCGAAGAGTCGAAACGTCCAGAAGGTCAGAGTGACTTGCAAGTTGCCACGATGAACCCTTTCCCGCGTTTGACTAGAGCTTTTAGGCGTGTGTAGCGATTCCCTTCATCCCATTTTACGCAGCGATTCGGTAAGGACTTTGGGCGTTCGGGACTTCCAATTCCCTTTGACTTCCGTAGTGCCGACTCGCCTCGCTCTCCGGTCTCGACCACAGCCACATAAATGTGTACAACAGTGACTGATATTGACAATAAGACTCGGAATACGCAAAACTGACAATAATCGTCTCCCGCGGTTATGGTGTTTGGAGTTTGGGTACGCACGGATTTTTCCGTTTTCGTGGCGTCGATAAGCTTTACAGGGGCAGGCGAGTGTGCAGATGTTTTCGCCCTAGCTTTTACCAGCTACCCAGCAGATCTCGTTTTGGTCGTGCGAAAGGTATTGCTTTTCGGATGGAAAATTGCCTGGAGCTTGTGTCGGGTTTAAGAACGATGTGTACTTATTAGGAAGTACGAGATACAAAAAGCAAAGCACACCACAGCAGGCCCCCAAGCATGAGCGGAATTGACAATGACAGGCGATCAACGTGATGCACCAGTCATCTTTCCCAGATGACACACCCATATGCGGGGCTGCCGGATTCTGTAGTCCCAGAATGCTGGAATGCAAGCGGGGGTTTTGAAGCCATCCAAGTCCATCTTCGACTGCATTCGTCCTTTCGAAATAGGGAAAACCCTTGTGATTGTTGCCCCGCTCCACGAACCAGCATTACGCTTGAGTCTTTCTCAAGGTCGGCGACCACTTTTGGAAAGGAAAGACACGTGCAACCATGCACCCAGCAGCACACCTTCGCTTCGTTGGGTATGCAGCTGAAGAGGCTAAGCAAAACCTCCACCGACTACCAACCTGTTTTCTATGACCACAATTGGTCAAGAAGCAGCGATTGCACTTCAAAAGACGGGAATTTAGATCAACGGTAGAACGCGCAAAACTACGCAGCCATGCATATTATTCTGAAGTGACCGTTTTCCGTCACACTGTAAGCGAGGCGACTTCACCCAGTTACCAATGGTTGGGCTTTGGTTGAAAACCAGTTCGTGGTACGCATTCGTTTCCGTTTGTACTCAAAAGCATGGGAATCCTCGCATGAAATACCAGCGTGCCATCGTTTACCCGCTAATCCAACTACATTAATCGCAGCTGCGAGGCGGCACGAAATTATATGGGCTCATTAAATTTGTGTCATTCATCCACTACCTTAAGCAGTCATAGTAGGGCGGCAGATGTCGTCGGTTTTCTCCTCCCAGCTCTTCGTGACTTCCAAGCAGCTCTACACTCCCAAGATTCACCCCTGTTGATCGTACTAGCAAATCTCTGGAACCGAAACACTTGTGAAGCCTACCGAAGCATGCTGTACACGGTTCTAGTAAACCTCGTCGTTTCCTCCCGTTATCACGTTTATATGGCGGTGGCAAAATGCAAATTGAGTAAAACCATGTTAATTGGAGATCACTCACATAGACATCTTTCCAAGGAACACGCGTGATGATACTCGTGGATAGATATGGTATTCTTCGCTGAGGCTATGCCGCTGCTGCATAGCCAAGTACTATAGCACACTACCATATTATAATTGTCCGAAAGAGATAGTTGTGAGTGCATTGTCCAGCGTGGTATACTCGTGTAGTATTCCAAACAGTGTGAGCTTGACCTGCGGAACTGGCCATTGCTGAAGACACTCCAAGCTTTCTCTCGAGACTCTCTGTCATCAAAACCTTCCATCGCTCAGCGATTGCATCAGTGCTGTTCATATCATCGCGGTTCATGAAATCCGCGGAATCAGCGAGTCTATTTCTCTATCATACTGTCGCATAACCACCAATTCTATCTCTTGCTTATGCTGTTCCTCTTAGCCTTCTTCCAAGTACTATTCTGAACAGACGCTTTGGATATATCGGATGTGGATTTTGTACTCGCATTCTTTAAGAGTGAGCTCAACAGATAATGACATTGCGAGACGCAAGTTATCTTCGATCTACTTTATTCACTTTAGTCTCCGTACCCCTTCACTATATGGTGTCGGAGAGTACTTGCGTTGCAAGTATATTATATTAGTGTGTTCAAAAGTCTTCCTCTAGTATGTATAGCCGTTCAAAGAATATCTAGCAGCGTGTATAGAAGCACTCGCATAAGCTTGTAGTCTTCAGCAAGCTTGCTCCGTACCTTTTGCTCTGTGAAACCTGTAGTAGCTGACTACTATAATCCAAGACACAGAACCTAATACAGCCAAAAATATAAAGATTACAGCCAATTGTCTAGTAGCAAGGTCTCAAAGTCTTTCGTGTGATCCTATCGTATCTTACCCATCCACCCCAAAACCATACGACCATCCACCAAAACGAATATTACACCATTGTTAATGAGCAAAAATGATTGGGTCTGTCCGCGACTCGAACGCGGGACCTTTACAGTTATTAGATGACACTACATTGAAACATAGAGTAATAGGACTCACCTCTCGCAATATAGACTTAGGTACCCTAAGCGAGAATCATACCACTAGACCAACAGACCGAATTTGTGTTTTCAAAATGGTGTGTGCAAATATGTCCGGTGGCACGACTCGAAGACTGTGGGCCGGGATTCGCCTATCCGCTGCTAAGACTGTCAAGGACGTTTGCAGGGAAATAGGTGTGCTGATATATACTTAGTTCAGGTCTGTGAACTTCACGTAGATAAGGCTGATAACCTTGATATGGTCAACAATAAAATAGGGTTGAGGAGTAAAAGAAAGTAAGCAAACACATCGAACCTTGACTCTTGAGTCAAACGGGTTGTGTTTCAAATTTGGTCTATCTAAAAGGCCGCTCTAGCAACTAATCATACCAAACACACTACTCCTAATATCTCTTTCCACTCGCTTTCGGAGTCTTCGCAGTCCTATACCTCGGCCCCGACTTCACCCTGGAACTATTTGTTGGTTTGCCGTAACGATACGAAGAGTATTTCGGCCTCTTCATAGCTTTACACCTTTTCGGTGTAAAGGTCATACTAAACCCTGGATACTTTGTCCTCAGAGGCCTACCGATCTCACTGTCCCTCCTACTTCCACTCGAGGAGGAGGCAAAAGCAAAGCTAGAATGTTTACCCCTCCGACTCCTGTAAACTCTCTTGCCACCACCAGTCCTGGTTGGAACAATTCCCCCCATTTCCACATCGCCATCATCCTCAAACAAGTCATTAATGTCTAAATCAGTATCAGTACCTTCAATCGCTTCGTCACCCATACCATTAGGGTCACCAGACGCATTCTCAAGTGTTGATTGCGGAACAGGTGTATGCCGCCCAGCAGTTGACTGTGATTGACTGCGTGGTGGTGAAGGCATATCTCCGGTATGGAAAGTGCCCACATGCGGATTCTCCTCCAAATACTGTGCAAGATAACTGTCGAGATCGTCACCCTCGGCCCTTAAAGTATAAGAGGGTGCGTTTGATGTTTGCCTCGGTGAGCGGGAATTGGACCTCATACTGACTTTATGTCGCGGTGAGCGCGATCTTGAAGAAGGCCCAGAATATTGTCGACCGCTACCACTTGCATCACCCATCGAAACTGACCGTTCCGACGTTATCTTCCGAGATGGACTCGTATAGCCAAAATCGCCTCTTTGAGGGGATTGTCGTGGAGATATTTGTGGGAAGTATCCTCCTCCAGGTGTAGATCTGCGTTGATATGTGGAATCATAATTTCCTGGCGCAAGGACTCCATTTTGGTCATTCCAGGCAGGTTCTTCTTGTGGTGGAAGGTTGGAGTCCATCGCTTGGTCTTGGAATGGGTCCTGGTCGTCAAATTGAAATTCGAACTGGTTGTTGTATTCACCAAAAATATCAGAGTCATTGTTACCCTCCAACATAGCAGGATCGATCAGGAAATTGTCCGCTCCTATTGGAGGCCGCTGTTGCTGCTGTGTTGCCTGCGGTGGTGGTGGAGCTTTACTACCCATCTGTCTCCGCACAGAAGAGCTGCCCGGCAATGGCCCATTTGATCCCGGCCGTCCAGAGTCGTTAGAGTCAAACCACGGTGCGGTTGCGGCTTGCGATGCCCTATGGTTAGGATCATACATTGGCGCCACTGGAGCAATTCTTGACGGTGAGAATGGATTACCATGGTAAGATGGCTGGTTGGGTTGCTGCTCTTCCAACATCGCATCGCCTGGCTGTAATAAGGTTCCATCCCTACCAACGGGCCAAATGGTATTCCCGAATTCGTCCGTCGCATACACGAACCCACCAAACCTATCAACGCTAATAGGCATAGGCAAACCCGTGAACTTGACTGCCCATTCCTCGTCGGTCAAAAATGCATCCGGAGACATTTGTGACAAATCAACTCCATAAGCTGGGAGAACTGCCTGCGGATTATTGCTGACGTCAACATTCTTGACATATAGATCCTGAATGCGATTCTGTTGAATTCTATCTCCATCAACAGTATACACCACGCCATCATTGTCGGACTCGCGAATGTAAAACTTATCTTGTGGTGAGAGCCATAGACCGTTGTCCGCAAAGGAGCGCTGCCATCCATTCTGTATCATCCATTTGTGGATAGGACCGTTCGATACTCTAAATTGACTTGCTGCTGAGGCTAAATTACTGCCACCTTGACCTGGGGACAGTCTTCTCTTTTTGCGGCGGGGCTCTGGGGGAGGTGGAGGAGGAGGCGGAGGTTGGGGCTTCCGTGGCCTCCTACTTTTCGGTCCCGGTAACTTTCTCCTTCGAAACCCACGCCCTCTCGGTTTAGGCACCTTTGGTCGAGGATCGTCATCTTCCGATGAAGAAGAGGTCTCAGAAATATTATCAATCTTTCCTTTCCTGTGCGCTTGGGGTTTGAACTTCCTCCTCCCCGCTTCAAACTCTGCCATCTCTTCCTCCCTAAACTCTCTTAATACAGTCTTTTGGTCTTGTCCCCTTCTCGCGGCCCGTCCTTTCATAGCAAGCGCCTTCCTCGTCTTGATCATTTTGACAAAACATTCCCGGTCTTCTTTGGTCGGATTGACACCTCCGTATAACTTAATTCTCCACGGGTATTTGAGCGCACGAGTCCATAAGTCCTCAGCCGAGTATATTCTCAGAACCCAAAATAGAATCTCATCTTTCATGTCCTCGAAGTGGTGCTTCAGAATCTTGCGTGGAGAGATTTCTGTAGGGTAGGCTCCTCGATTCAACTGTGCGCCTTCCATTATTCGCGCATCTCCAACTTCGAGGTATGGGTCGCGAGCAACCATTTTAGTCTCCAAATCGTCCAGTATTGGGTGAAATTGGCCGGGACGGGGAGCAACAGGCCTCTCTGGAGCCCATCCGCGCATGGAAGACTCGACTCGTTCCGCAAAAGCACCGCCGGGATGGGTTTTGACGTAGCGACCAACATGCGCAAGGGGTACTGCTGGTTCCAGTCGATCAACTAGATAGGTTGGATAGTCCCACAAATGCTTCTGCAAGAAATCTTTCCATGTCATGGCATGTTCTTCTCCAACAAACTGACGCAAACTGTTCAATAACGCACCAGGCTCATCAGTAAAATCTGGCAAGATCTGTTTGACGGCTTGGGTGCTCCAAAGTCGCATAGATTCTGTGGTCGGCGTATCAACATTGTCGACCCTAACATTTTCGATATCGGCAGGAAGTCTATTGTAGTTGTAAGTGGATGAGGTGTTTAAAGTTGCGAAGCGGTACAACAACGCGAGACCAGGCCAACGGAATACGTGGTCAGGGTAGTAGACAAGGAGTTCCCATAGTGTAATGTCGTGAAGTAAATCCCAGGGCAGTTCTGTCTCGAATCCTGGGCAGCCAGTAAAAGTTGAGCGTGGACCTCGCATCGTAACAATTTAGTCAAAGATTGTGTACCTCCTAGTAAATCATTCTTTCGAGGGGATTTGAACAAAGTGATCCAAAACGTTCTTATGATGTACGAGCTTTGAAAGAATAAAGAAACAGGCATAAGTGCCGCTTGCGGTTTACACATCTCAAATTGGGAAACGTACTCGGTCTTTTGAAATGTCCTTCGCGACCAGCCGACTCGCACGCAGACAAAGAAACATACTTTTTAAGTTCGACCGAACATGGAAAGGAAGGACGTTGAAATGAAAATGAGGAGAACAATAAAAATCAAATGTGAAAGAGAACAAAGAGAATACCATCTGACAGCAAAATTGATCCAGTCGATATTACCAGCTTACGGAAAGCTTCCCACTCCACACATACCGATTCAACTATCAACATCTCTTTCTCCGAAAACAAACCTCTTCCAGTTCTTCCCTAGCTGCAAAACTCCCTCTTCAAGACCCCATCCCCTAATCTTGCAGACTCTCCTCGTGATATCCTCAAGGTAGTCATCCATAGCTTCGCCCGCCCTGTCCAGATCACTCTCCACCAATATGCGATCGGCTGGTAGCATGATAATGGTATCTTCCGCAGCCTTGACTTTCTTATCGGATTTATTGTAGAAGTTGACCAAAGTGGAAAAGGAAAAGAATACTTCGACTGGTATCGAAGGACTTAAGTAGAATTTACCCTGTTCTGGTGGCCCGGTGAACGAGTGCAGGCATATCCTTGGTGGGTATGGTGGTATGAAATCAGCTTTCTTTGGCGTTTGCTTTTCATCGTCGTCAGGGTTTTGGGCTCTGAGGTTGGTATTTAGTCTGCGTTCGCGTCTGTTGGGGGTTTTGTTCTCGTAGCCTTTCCATGTTCCTTTCAAAGACTCGAAGAGAGCACCATGGGCTTGGACGCCGTGTATGGAGACTGCGCGCTGCAGTTCACCAGCGAGGGCTAGTTGCGCTTTCAAGATTTTCCGCTGGTGGTCTTTGCTGGAGTGGTATGGAGATAGGTGTAGGCCATCCCGTCCACCAGAGTTAGATGAACAGTCTGAGTCGTGACTCACGTCAACGGCCGGGTTCGCTGGCAAGCAGAATCTCTTATCGAGACCAACCTCTCCAACCAGCGCTAAAGGGTATTTTTCCAGGTATTCTCTCATCGCAGAGAGAAACTTTGAGAGGGGTCTGGGCTCAGGGAGTGCAAGCATGAATTCTTTGTCGTTACATTTGGGCGTCAGGACGGAGGAATAATGGATGAGCTTTTGGTCAACACTGAGCTCCATGGCACCATCGAACTCTGGATACTCATAGATTTGATGCGAGAACCACGGATGCCAGCCGAAACAGGGCACAACACGTGCTTGCTTTTCCCATTGAGCTGATAAAGGCCCTTCTTCTGACTGTCGCACTCCCATACGATTTGCAGTTGCAGCGACGAGCTCCTGATCATTAGCACGGGTGGCCATTATTGTGAGTACTTTTGCTTTCATGGTGGAAATAGATTCGACTGAGTTCATTGTGTCAGTGGGGTGACAGTGTGCATCGTAGACTTGCAAATGCCACGGGAATGGTTTTTCGCCCTCCTCTCGGTGAACCGGGGGAAGAGGCATGGTCGGTGTATCATCTACGAGTAGCTATTTGCAACCGTGATTTACGTCTGCGTATTTGACGTACAAGGGCTAAGTGAGTGATATCAATATTACC